CGCAAACAGTATTACTAACAGTATTTTTATTTAGAAATTTTGTCCACATATTTATATTATCCACGAAACTGTCAATAACAGTATAAGGATCTTCAATTCCTAAGAGTTCAAGTTTTTTAACGTATTTTCCCCTTTCCGCGGGTGCGGTTCTTTACATACGGTGAACACGTCCAGCGCTGATTAACACGTCCAGCGCTGGCGAACAGCTGATTGTGTTTACGTCTGATGTACACCACTGTGGCGGCGGCGTAGGTATCACGAACGGACGTGACGTCATATGAAAGGACTCTATACTTTGAATAAACTTTGTGGGGATAGTGACGTCCCTTGATGTGTTTACTTTTTGGTTCAATAAAAATGGCGGACTCCATCATAGACTTTGTGGCCCATTCAGAAGTTTAACGCGTTACAAAGCTAATTTTCTGCCGGCTATAACTTAAACAATACGTCCGTTTGCTGTATTTATTACGTTCCAACACTTATATCAATTTTAAACTGTCTTTTTTCATTTAGTTTTACAATAAATTTCTCTAGATCTAAAGATCAGCTGTCGAAGGAAAGTTATTTATAGATCTAGATCTAGATCTAGAATCTAGGTCAAATCAAATCTAATTTTCTGTCGGTCATAACTTTAACAATACGTCCGTTTGCTGTATTTATTACGTTCCAACACTTATATCAATTTTCAACTGTCTTTTTTCATTTAGTTTTACAATAAATTTCTCTAGATCTACAATCTGTCCAAGAAAGTTATTTATTTATAGATCTAGATCTAGAATCTAGAATCTAAATCTAGGTCAAATCAAAAATTTATTAGTTATAGATCTTAATACAAACCAAAAAAGAAACGAGACTTAAGCAAACCAGTCGTAGATCTAGAATATAGATAATTCTATCTAGATTTAGATAATAATGAGTTTCTATATACTAAAATATTTTAGACCTTTATTATTTTGTATAAATCTTTGTTTCGACTATGCAAATTTTGAAGTGCTGGCTCCAGGGCGTATTTGCGCAGCTTAAGATTCATACGCTGCTTCTATACCGGAATTTTGCTAAATTATAAACGTAAATTCTAAATATAGCTCAGTCGTAGATCTAAAATATAGATAATTCTATCTAGATTTAGATAATAGTGATTTTCTATATACTAAACTATTTTAGACCTTTATTATTTTATATAAATCTTTGTTTGGAATATGGTAATTTTGAAATGCTCGCTCCGGGCCTATCAGCGTAGCTAATGATTAGATCTAGATCTAGCAAGAAAAACTAAACTTAAGACCTAAGCAAGCGAGTCGTAGAATATAGATCTAGATAGAATTATCTAGATCTAGCTAATTTCAGAACTTCTTTATTTTATATAAATCTTTGTTTGGCTAATTTAAGATTAAATTTAATTTGAAAGTTACTACTACTAGCCTAATATCTAGATCTATGCGCGGAGACTCAAAACTATAGTATAAAAATTCATTTGTGACGTCACGAGTAAATAGCTAAGTTGGTAGCGTAGCCCGCTCTCATGTGGGTGGCACAGGTTCTAGACCAATATGGCAATGATATTTTTTTTAAATTTTTTTTTAGATGTGAATGATAAAGTTGCCTATCTGAACTTGCCAGGATACAGGGCAGGTGAAGTAGAGTTCATCTGTTTCTTTGTCCTAAGCATATGAAAGGATAGTGTGGTCAGAGACATGCTCGGCTGGAATCGTTTTTTAAACGATAAAAACATGTTGTCTGAGACTTGGCGGGACACTGGGCGGGTGAAGTAGAGTTGAGTAGGTCACATGTGACGTCAGTATATGAAGGGATAGTCCGAAATCGGTGTTTTCGGTGTTTTTAAAAGATAAGAAACATATTTTTGAATGTGGGGTCTGTTTTTTGTGACGATAAGTGACACTGCAGTAGCGTAGCGAGGAGGGGGGGGGGGGCGGGAGGGGAGGCGGGGGGGGGGGGGGGGGTAAGGGGAGGTGGAGGGGGGAAGGGGGGGGGCGGGGGGGACATATGTTGGGGCGCCAAAATGGTTTGGAAAAATAAATTGAAAGGTTGAGGGGGGTTCAAATCGAAAGTTTGAGTGGGGGGGGGGGTGCACATCAAAAGTTTGAGGGGGGGGGGGGTTGAAAATCGAAATCTTGGGGGGGGGGGGGTTAAAATCGAAAAATTTGTCCCCCGGCGCCGGGAAGGGTCGCTATGCCTCTGAGTGACAGACGTGATGTTTTTTTGATGGATGACCCCCGAAACCACAGTTATCCAACGGATGACGGGTATTCTAGTATAATCTAATAATATCCGCCCTTCATGAATGTGTAACCCACTTACAACTCCCAAATACATTATGTCTACTGCTCCGGGGGGTGACCCATATATGACGTCACGCTATTTCTGGACGATTTTTTTCCTCCCCACCCCTTAGTCACACATCGTCACTAAAAAGACAAAACCATCCCTCCCTAAAATGACGGAACACCTCAGCCTAACCCCCCCCCCCCTCTCAAAATTGAAGTTGAATTGTTCTTAAAATACGATTTTTTTTTCCCCAAAATCTTGTCTGAACTCTGTCAGCATAAAGTATTTTAATCAACTGCTATTACGATTTATGAAAACAGTTTTCTAAAACGCGAAATAACGGCTAAAATTCGTTTTCTAACATTGATTTTTATAAAGCAAAAGTGTGACGTCACACTATCTGAACTCTCCCCCCCCCCTCATCTCAAAACCGTCACAAAATTCCGGACCCCCCCCCTCCTCCCTACGAATGTGACGTCATTTATGGACGACCCCCTAATCTCGTAAAAACCAATGTTGAACTACTTTGAATAAACGTGTTTAAATGTCTCATGTAACTATTGGCGGACGAAAGGTTGTTGTTACTGTTACAATCGACCTTTCTTTCAACTCCAAACACGATTCAAGGCACTGTTCAAACCTTTATTTAACTTGTCATCTTCATCATTACACCAAAAGCCCTCGACCCTAGCCGCTACGAACAAACCCTCGACCCTCGCCTCCACCAACAAGCCCTCGACCCTAGCCGCTTCCAACAAGCCAACCACAATCGTTCACTCCAGCTTTTATACCCGCACTCGACCTTGGGATAACAAGGTTTACACAACTCACACACTCCTGCCTCTACGTTCTAGACCAGGGGTCTCCAAACTACGGCCCGCGGGCCGGATGCGGCCCGCGAAGTCCTCTCATCCGGCCCGCGGAGATCATTTTGTCCAAGAAAAAATCGTTTGTTGGTGATAGCTGAGGAACTTTGGCCAGAAAAACCAAAGACATGCCTGGAAGAAACTGGTCCCCGAACTGAAATTTTATAGTTAATGCGGCCCTCGGATTGAAAAGTTTGGAGACCCCTGTTCTAGATTATTCAAGTGCATTCTAATCTAACCTACAACTGACCCGTAACAGCTACTAGTGAATATATCTTATGGTCTATATCTACATTGCCTTTAATTAAAACGTATGTCATCATGATTCGTCTATTATTAACCAACTCCAGACAAAAAAAAAAGGTTCTAATTAACCACCCAATTATCTCCTAAACCTTTAGCTTAATATAAACAAAACCATAGTTTGTAAACTATCAAATACAAGAACGATAAATACAATGCAGTATACCACAACATTCCACATTAGGCCTACGTTTAGCTTTTATTAAACCCAAAACTTAAAAACACGATAAAATCATTTTTAGAAATCTACTTCTAACACCTTTTCGTGACTTCTCATCAGATCAGATCAACATTTTATTAAGACGTAAGATCAATTTCTTTATTTTAAAGATTAAAAAAAAATATCTACCAAACTATAAATCACTCAGGTAGTAGCTACTCACAAGTCTTATACAGGTATTGTTATACTGTGTTCTACTGTGTAGCAGAATGTGTTGATAATAAAATATAGCCTTGTAGGGTTGGGTCATAGGATCGATATTTAAAAAAACAACACAGGACTGACCAGGATGCAATTATCAATACGTTCGTCGATTGGATCGCAGAGGATGTATATTTTACAGGTAATAGACATAATAAGTTAACGTTAATTTGAGTTAAAATATGTACATTTAAAAAATGTAAACTTTAATTCTTCACAAACATTAATGGATTTTTCATTTCTATCATATGAGATTTTAAGTATATTTTTTAAAACGACTATTACCAAATAGGTAATGAAATCGAAGAGTTTGTTTTTTATAAATGTGTTGCATAAATTGGGCTTTAGTTACAAAATTCTATATAATTATATATATCGAATTGTTGCAAAATTGTACAATTTGTATGCTTGTGTGTGGATGTTACAGACGATTAAACTTTTATTTGAACTTTAACTGCTTATCGAATACGATCGTTTTACTAGCCATTAAATCACACGCGAAAGCCCCCACACTTTTTTATTATGTTTGTCAATGCAAGCGAATCATTTAACGATACTCTGGTTCAATTAAAAACATGCACAAGGTATCAACAACACAAATATGCCTGGTAAAGCTCTGAACGTACTCCGCATACTATTTTTATGATTACGATCTTGTTTTTGTAAACATTAAAGGCCTACATTCACATTTACTCAATCTTCAATAGGATTATTTATTTATTTGTATTCTTATAAACACCACACTTATGATAAAACAATTAGATTACCAAAATAGAAAATTTATTCTCAAAAACTTTGCTTAACACTAATTCAACGAGTTCTTGATCTGACAAATTAAAAGACTAAAATTAATTCTGATTTTATTGAATAAATAAATAATTCGTTGTTTTTTTTTAAATTCTTTATGTCTAGCTGATATTGGTAATCTGTCAAATAGTTATTACCCAGGTGAGTTAGGCTATGTTGACCTTTACTTATCTCTACCATCATTATACAATGGATACAATGACCATAACTCACAGACAGACCGGAAAATAAATAGGCACTTTAATATAGACGTTAATATGTTTTTACTTGATCCGTTAGTTGGTATACATAAACTACAATGTTTATAATGATATTGATATTGATAAAAAATGGTCTTTATTTTATTGCAGGCGAATCACAACCGTAAGTTTATTTTCTCTCTCAACAAAGTTTAGTCCTTTTCCATACATTGTATATGTATTCCTCTCGTTATAGTTATGTAGGCACTGGTACGTAAACTGATGAATACGTGTAGCTTCAAGATAAATTAATGGGATATAGTATGTCTAAAAGTTCAACTTACACGTCCTGAACACAAATGAAAGGTCCTAAATACGAATGTCCTTGAGCACTAAAAGTTGTCCTAAAACCAATATCATTAAAAACACAAGAAGGTCCTAGATCAATAATAGAATATCCTTTAATATTACTACAATGTCCTAAAACACACTGTGAATGTCCTAAAACACAACGTTAATGTCCTAAAATACAATACAAATGTTCTATAACACTATACGAATATCCTAAAAAACTAAAAGCTGTTCTAAACTCCACACCCAGAGGCGTAGCGATGGGGGGGGGGGGGGGGGGCAGGGGGGGACATACGTCCCGGGCGCCGACCTCAGGGGGCGCCAAAATGGGTTGTAAAAACAAATTATAATGTCAATTTAGGTGCAAATCGAAAAGTTAAGGGGGGGTGCAAATAAAAAATTTGCTCCCGAGGGGGGCGCCAAATTGAAAGTTTGTCCCCGGGCGCCGGGAAGGGTCGCTACGCCTCTGTCAATATCATAAAAAGAAAACACTAGAAGGTCCTTAATCAATAATAGAATGTTCTTAAGCACTACGAGATAGCACTACTATAGACCATGAATGTCCTAAAACCTAAAGGGAACGTCCTAAATACATATTGAATGTCATAAAACACAACGTGAATGTCATAAAACACCTAATGAAATTTTGTAAAACACAACATGAATGTTCTAAAAACCGATTGAATGTTTTAAAACACTACACGAATGTCTTAAAACACTACATGAATGCCTTAAATCACCTCGACTATTTCCATAACCCCCAGGACATGAACCATGTCACCACTTCCACTGTCACCACGGAGGACGCTGTCTAGCACCGTATGACGACCCGTACTGCGTGTGTCCGGCACCTTACACAGGCAAGCACTGTGAGATGACCATCATGGGACATCAACATCCCGGACGCTGCCCTACGGTAACATCAAATTTGTGATCTACGATTATTCTATCTATGTGTGACGAAACTTGGTTGCTATAGTATTTGTCTAAATTACCCAGAAGATTTTATTGACCGAACATTGATATTGTGTTTACTAATTTAGCTTTACACATGTACAGGTAAACAGCAACAGGTATACAGGTGCTCACTGTAAGAAGGACGGCCATTGCAAAAAAACACGTAAATGTTGTAGGAACAAGTGGGGTAACAAGGTCTGCACAAAACCTGTACGCCGTAAGTCTTACAAAAGTCCAACTAAAATATTTATATTTCATTTCAAAAATTTTAACAAATTTATGATACAATGTTTCATAGTTTAGGGAGTTTTGTAAAATTAATAGTAAGCCTCCTATGCAAATAAACGTTTTTTTATTCTATCAAGTTTCCAGAGATCCTTGTCTAAATTATATTTGTCTAAACGGTGGGCGATGTATTGCACCAGCAGAAGTTCCTTCATGCAACTGCCCATCTGGATTTTACGGCCCTCATTGTGAAGGTGCTTTGTTTATTTTAATCTAGAGATCCCTTAATTTAATAAACAAAGCGAGTACATCTTTTAATATTAAAAATATTTTCTTGGTAATTTAAATATTCTACCAGTTTCTAGGAATCCTTGTCTCAGTTTTGTTTGCCTAAATGGAGGAATATGCACAGCTCCGGCGGATGTTACAATATGCCATTGTCTTCCTGGATTTTCTGGCACTTACTGCGAAGGTGGGTTTACCTGTCTGATCTATAGTGGCTACATTTGTATCACGTCTTATCAAAGAAACATTTAACTGCCATTTCCAGAAGCGATTGATATTTTTATTGCTACATGTGAAATTATAATATTTTCAAAGAAACAATCAACGAAAACAACAATTCCGTGAAATAATTGTATACAATTTTTTCCATCGGGAATTATTATGATATATACAATACAGTTTAGGTAATATAGTATCGCATCGCTTCAGTGAAGTGAAGATTTCTGCCAAATTAAAACAAAAATCTCTGCTATATAACCTTTTGCTAATTTTAGGTATGATTTGTATCAATATCCGAACATTTGCTTCTTAAATATAAGAAAGCTTAAAATTTTCGTACAATTTCCGAATGTATTGTTTCATTTTCTTTTAATTACAGTCATTCGTGATCCCTGCCTCAATTTTCAATGCTGTAATGGCGGCTACTGTACAGCCCCAGCGGATGTTCCTTACTGTGTGTGTCCGGCTGGGTACACGGGAGTCACGTGTGAGACCAGAGTTACGTCATCAAACGGAAGTTGTCCGGTAGGGTGTGGCAATGGCCACTCACCAAAAATTCCTCATGGGTCTTTCATCAATGACGTCATACGAATATGGGGGGGGGGGGGGGGGGGAAATCGAGTTGGGACGAAGTATGACAAAGTATGAAGAAGGAAAGGGGAGAAGAGGTTCCTAAAAATATATTTCGTTCCAATTTAGCATTTTTAAAAGTAATTTTTGAAACAATATTTTAATTGTTATCTCAATTTTTTTAAAGAATGGTTATTTTGTGTGTGTGTGTGTGTATGTGTGTGTGTGTGAATTATCATACTTTGATACACACACAATTTTGTCCCAGCAAATTTAATTTTATCACATCACTCTTTGATTTTAAAAGAAATGTTGAATTGGTATTGAAGAGGAGTTGTATGCTGAAAGTGCAATAATTTAGTTTCGGAGGGGGGTTACTTTAATAAAGATGTCTCCCCGGTGGGGAGTTGCAAGACCTTCCTGTTGAATTAAATTAATTCATTTGATTGCAATTCCTGTGTATTGGGGGTGGGGGTGGATTTAAAAGAGACCTGCCCCTTTTGAAATATAGCAATTCCAAATCAATTCATCTGCCCTGTGTATAGTTATGCCTGAAAGGGGAACATGTTTATTTTGTTTATATATTTTTCAAAACTTAATTGTCTATACAACAAATTAAACATTTTACGAAACTTCACTACATTTTTATTTTTAACCCAACTTTCACATGTAATCAAAACTGTTTCCAATTTCCACAATTTTTAATTAAACAATGAAACCAACATCAAGCAGCATCTTGTTTACGGTTAGGAGGTCACCAACAGCACAGATGCGGTGTGTAGTGGATACGTGTGTACACACGATAACGACTGCAGCACGGAGCAGAAGTGTTGCCCAAGCCCCTGTGGTAGATCCCTATGTACATCTGTTAACACAGGTATTTTATTCTAATTGCTATACCAACTAGGTTGGAAACTACATAGAACATATATATTTTAAGCTCATCAGCTATGTAACATACATTATTTCAAATATACAATACTAACAGTTTGATAATCGTTACGTTATATTTTACAGCCATCCGTGATCCATGCCTCAATTTCCATTGCTGTAACTGTGGCTACTGTATAGCCCCATTGGATGTTCCTTACTGTGTGTGTCCGGCTGGTTACACGGGAGTCACGTGTCAGTTTCCTACCTAATCCAGTAGTGACTGTCTGGTATGTTGATGGCAGGTACCCCCTCCCCCCATATGACCCCCAGTAGTAAGATGTGGTGTGGGTGGGGGCAGGGGTATTGGAAGACTTGAACTGTTGAAAGATAAAATGTTGCTACTGTTTGAATACGGGTGATGAGTTGCAATGTCTTCCTGTTGAAATAAATTAATACATTGGGTTGCAATTCCTGTGTATTTGGGATGGGGGGGGGTGGATTTAAAAGAAACCTGTCCCTTTTGTTTGAAATAAATCAATACGAAATCAGTTCATTTTATATTACGGTAATTCAAGTCTTGGATGTACGTCGTTAGCAATTATATCCAAACACTTTTTGGGTGTTTTGTGAAACGTCAGACGGACAGTAATTTACCTTTGATATATTTTTTACTGGTTTTTCTGATGTGGTCTTAAACTAAATGGTATGGTCTGGGCTAGGTTAAAGATTCTAGTATAAAAATTAGAGTTACATAAAATTAACGGACATTTCGAAAACAGATTGATTCTACCAGTATTCACAAAAGAAAATATTTTCGTATTTCGTTTTATTTCTATGTGTCAAATATTTATAATTTTTTTTTAAATTTTCAAATTAAATTTTCATTTTTTTCTGTGTAATAGGTCACTCACAGCACACAAGTGTGTCACAATGACACATGTACCAAATACTATACTTGATACAAATGGTCGGTGTTACACAGTAGCTTTTCATCGAGTCACCAAACAGTCTCTGTTTGAAATGTGTGTTGTAAAATATAAAGTTATAAATGCATTTAATAAAAGCATCTAATAAAAAATCGAACCTTTTCTTTTTTTTGTGATAAAGTTGTTGAAAAAATTGCATACAACAAAACACACTATATCAGTCTGGTTGTATAAAAACGTATGTTTGTTTTCTGACTGTTTCAATGTATATTTGCCTTGCAATCTATTAGGTAAAGGATACAAGGCAATGACACACATGACGTCAAAATATGTAGAAAAAAGTTTACACCAACTCCATATAAACTACAAGCATAAACATCAGGTTTTAAAACCTACCTTTGGTGCTTACACAGAGAGCTGATCTTAATTAAGTACAATAAACATCAGAAAATACATTAATGTCGGATAGATTTAATGAGGTGTTTTTTTACATAAGAAAAGGAAATCGTCAAGCGGACGAACCATAAGGAGAGAAAGAAAATCATACAACACCCCCCCCCCCCCTTCCCCCCAGGCTAAACATACCTGAGATGCAACGGATTAGACTTGCACGGGATTAGATTGGAGGTACAATGCACAATGGGGAAAATTAATTTCTATTTACACTCCCTCTACATCTTGTTTTGGTTGCGTTATTTTAACCTGTCGTCCTTGGTTTGATATCTTCTCTTTTTATCTGGTAAACACGTTCTATACATAGTAACCGAAACAATAAGTTCGGGTGCTAGATGCACCAGAATGACATTTGAAGTAAACGACTAATCAACATAGTCATTAAAATACTGAAATGCGTGCTGATCACGTACATGACTATGCTTATATGGTTAATGCAATACCAGTATTACAATCAGTATTATATACTATAGAGTAACCACTGGATGGTGCTTTGCGTTTAATGTGTTGTTATATTGTGAACAGAATAGTGAAAAGCAACATTTCGTTAAAGTTTACAAAATACAATGGTTACTAAGAATCAAAGGTGGGATCTAAATTTGGACATTGGATTCTTGTTCTTCCTGGTTGTTAGGTCTAGGTTAGAAGATTTTGGTATATTAGGTCGTGGTGTCAAATCCAGGTGGAATGTTTCTAATTTTAGTTCCAGGTGTTTGGTCTATCTGTTCAGTATTAGCTTAGATGCAGGTGTATGTGACAAGGATTTAAGGTCATGTTGTGAAGTCACATTCAGTGGGGTAGGTCTTGAAAGTCAATGTTAGGTCCTGTCATAGTTAGAAATACAGGTATTAAGTTCGCTAACTGTATTCAGTTATATCTATTCGATAAGTCAGGTGTTAGGTCCAGTCTTGGTTAGAAATACAGGTATTAAGTCAGCTAGTTATATTCAGTTATACATATTCGATAAGTCATGTGTTAAGTCTAGATTTTAGTTGCAGGTGCAAGGTCCAAGTTTAGGGTAGTAGAAATAGGTCCCGGCTGGTAACTTAAGGGGGTGGGGCGGGAAGGAGGAGGGGGAGATTAAACGTAATATCCTGTTGTAATATCCAGAAGCAAGTACGTAAATACCACAGAACAGCATTTTAAACGTGCTTGGTTGGTCTCTTGTACTAAGGTGGATTAGTCCATGATTTCAATCTAAGATATGTCCGTGCGATGTCGCCCCCTAGAGTACAGAATTTAGCCAATAGCGGATTAACTTACACAACAAGAGATTAAAATAATACATACTTATGTCTTGTATGACATTGTACTGATCGGTATCTATTTGTGTGTGTGTGGGTGTTATTTTGAAGTGACGCTCAAGTTCAAGGTTAAATTGCGTGTAAAGTAACTTATAAATAAAGTGTAGCCTATAAAAGCGGTGTTAACTGCATCAGGGATAAATAATAACTTCTGAATATGACTCAGTAATATTTTCGTAAATTTAAACTTAGAAGTTAAGGTCGTTATATAGATTTGTGGGTTATCAACTATAAATTTTTAATTGTACTGTTATACAAGTTTCACCAGAAGCTAATTAGAAATTTAACCAATCATCTTGTTTTAAAAATGAAACTACAAGCCTGCTTTATTTTTACTCTGGTAGGTTTTTCTTTAGTTAACATTCGAAGTTTTGTCTATCTACATTTACTTTAAGGTTAGATATAGAGGTAAAACTTGAATACGCTGATGATTCAAACAAGCACCTTCGTTAAATTAAACAGAAAACCTCAAACGATTGGTAGAATAATATTGCTGTATTTCCAAATGTAAGTTGATGACTATATTTGTATATTTTTTTACTTTGCAGGTTTTACATGTTGTTAAGGAAACAGTTTATGCACAGGTAGGGTAATAAGTACTTGTATTAAGTCAATCAAATTAGGATTGTGAATTAAGTAACATGATTAACATAGCAGTGATATTAAACGGTTTAGCATAATTATAAATGTAAGAAAAACTAGCAAGCTTTTAATGACGTTTCAATTGCTAATTAGATTTGTTTTAAGTTAGTCTTACGTGTGACAGTTTTTTTTTTTGTATTTTTACTCATAGGAGTCACATATTATTATCTTTTCTTAGTCCCATTGTAATTTATTGATGTAACACAATTTGGACGAAGAAGTTGATAAACTGATATTCAATATCCTTAAATAAAATGCGTGTAATAATGTATTATTGTTTTTTTTTTCTGTTAGCCCGCGACATGTAAGTTCAAATGTTTTTGTAATTCTTTGCTATATGTGTATATAACCTTCATATTTGTGTATGGTAAACTATTTAAACTTAATTTTAAGAGCGGCTGATTATTAGTTTTAATTTAAGTATTGAAAGTAGTGTATTCAGTGTGTGTTTCTTTCATTCATCTCTTGGTGAACCCCCCCCCCCCCCCCCAAGCACGTCTGCAACCCATTCCCAAACGAAATAGAATTTAAATAAAAACATATTCATGTATCGCTGTAAGCTAGACAACCATATACATACTTAGAGTAAACGCATATGACGTAATGTCCTGTGACCTTCCTCTCTCTCCATCTCCCCCACCCCCCACGTTTCATCCAGTTGTCAGAGATCCTTGCTCAGACGTAACGTGTTACAATGGCGGCTGGTGTAAGTCCTCATCCAACCCGCCAGTGTGTGTGTGTCCTTCACCTTGGGCAGGGAGCCAATGTGAAGGTAAACATATTTTCTTCCAGACTTTTTTTTTTCTCCGGGGGGGGGGGGAGGGACTTGAAATTTTCGGGGGGGGGGGGCGGTGGTAGACTTTTTTTAGGGGGTGGGGGAGCGGACAATGTTAAAAGTATATATTTTCTATATAAATTTTATTTCGTTCGTGGGGGGGGGGGGGGGTGTTAGATTTTCTTCGGGGGGGGGGGGGTACTTCATATTTTCGGGGTGGCGGGTACGGACGGGGGCGGACACCATTTTCCAGGGGGGGGGGGGGTGGGCGGACACTGGTAAAAAGTATATATTTTCTATATAAATTCCATTTCGTTCGAAGAGATGCCTGCTGAATGAAACTCTGCCACTAATACACAGACGACAGACAAGAGTTTGAAGAAACTTGCCTTTACTGTTTCTCATCCCACTTACCTTTATCTATTTCACATCCACATGTTTTTTTTTTATTACCTGCGTCGTATTGCGATAACTATGCTAACCCGAAAGTCTAGAGTTTAAATCGCGAACTCGAGGTTAAAGTATCTTACCTAATCTAAAGATCGATCCTACTTTTCCACATACCGTCTTTGTATTTCAGTGTTAAAGTATCGTACCTGTTCTAAAAATCGATCCTACTTTTCAAAAAACCGTCTTTGTATTGCAGTAAGAACGATTGACCCATGTAGGGGCTTCCAATGTTACAATGGCGGCTTCTGTATCTCGCCCCTGGACGCCCCAGTTTGCCGATGTCTTCCTGGATTTACAGGTGACCGATGTCAGACTGCCATTGGAGGGGTCAAACCTGGCCGTTGTCCTAATGTAAGCTAATTTAACATTAATTTAACAAATAATTGATTGCTAATGGGTCATCCATAAATGACGTCACTCTTTTTGACGATTTTTACCTCCCCTCCGTCACACATCGTCACAAAAAGCCAGACCCCCCCACCTCTAACATGACGTCATACCTCAGCCTACAATCCCCCTCAAAATTGCAACTGAATTTTTCTAAAATCACCCTCCCCCACCCTCATCACACACCATCACAAAATTAGGGACCCCCCTCCCCCTACGAATATGACGTCATTTACGGACGACTTATTAGTTTAAAGATAAATATCTTTAAAACAAAGACTTTTTCTGTGATAATATATTAATTAGTTTCTTTACCTAATAAACTATTGATTTTTTTTGAGGTAACACTGCACATGTATATTTACAAAACATATTTTGTAGCTGACTTTTTTTTTGGTATTCAGCAAAGAATAAAAATCTAATATGTTGTGTTTGTTTTTTTTATTTAGACAGACCATGGCATAGGTATACACAAATTTAGATGTAAAGATTTAAGTAGGATGCTCGTAAAAAATTAGATGTGTATCTGCAGAATCGTTTTGTAGCAAGTTTATCCTATTATGTTCTTATGTGTGAAACTTTATTCTCAAACCACTTACTTTCTCAGGTATGAAACTTTAGTGTCAAACCACTGACTTTCTCAGGTGTAAAACTTTATTCTCAAACCATTGACTTTCTCAGGTGTGAAACTTTAATGTCAAACCATTGACTTTCTCAGGTGTAAAACTTTAATGTCAAACCATTGACTTCCTCAGGTGTGAAACTTTAATGTCAAACCACTGACTTTCTAAGGTGTAAAACTTTAATGTCAAACCACTGACTTTCTCAGGTGTGAAATTTTAATGTCAAACCATTGACTTTCTCAGGTGTAAAACTTTAATGTCAAACCATTGACTTTCTCAGGTATAAAACTTTAATGTCAAACCATTGACTCTCCCAGGTGTAAAATTTTAATGTCAAACCATTGACTTTCTCAGGTGTAAAACTTTAATATCAAACCATTGACTTTCTCAGGTGTAAAACTTTAATGTCAAACCACTGACTCTCTCAGATGTAAAACTTTAATGTCAAACCATTGACTTTCTGAGGTGTAAAACTTTAATGTCAAACCACTGACTCTCTCAGGTGTAAAACTTTAATGTCAAACCATTGACTTTCTCAGGTGTACAACTTTAATGTCAAACCATTGACTTTCTCAGGTGTACAACTTTAATGTCAAACCATTGACTCTCTCAGGTGTAAAACTTTAATGTCAAACCATTGACTTTCTCAGGTGTAAAACTTTAATGTCAAACCATTGACTCTCTCAGGTGTAAAACTTTAATGTCAAACCATTGACTCTCTCAGGTGTAAAACTTTAATGTCAAACCATTGACTTTCTCAGGTGTAAAACTTTAATGTCAAACCATTGACTCTCTCAGGTGTAAAACTTTAATGTCAAACCATTGACTTTCTCAGGTGTAAAACTTTAATGTCAAACCATTGACTCTCTCAGGTGTAAAACTTTAATGTCAAACCATTGACTTTCTCAGGTGTAAAACTTTAATGTCAAACCATTGACTCTCTCAGGTGTAAAACTTTAATGTCAAACCATTGACTTTCTCAGGTGTAAAACTTTAATGTCAAACCATTGACTTTCTCAGATACCTGGCGAGTTCGGTACCTGTTGGGGGTTCCCGTGCAGCAGCGACAGCGACTGTAGAGGGAACTACAAGTGCTGCATCAATACATGTGGAGATAACTCTTGCATACTTCCACTTCCAGGTGAGTTGGTGATGCTAGACATACGTATGTTAACAGTATATGGATGTCGTATGTATATATATGTGTATTGAATATAAGAAGTGTATAACAGTTATTTGTAAATGCATGAGTTTTTGAATTAAGATGTATAGCTGTTGTTTTAGATTCATGTGTATTTGAAAATACATTTGAAATTTTATATATATATATATATATATATATATATATATATATATATATATATATAGGTATATATATTATATATTTATATATATATGTATATATATATATATATATTTATATATAATATCCGTGTATGTGAGGTAATCAAAAATGTATATTACTACTATTGATGCATGTATGTATATTTGAACAAATGGTGCTTAGCTCGCTAACGCTCTATGATGTGTCGCAATGTGAAAGTATAAAGATGCGGAGTGTTTATCCGAACTTGTCTGAAATTACTACTTCAACTGTTCTTCAGAGCTCCCACCTCCCCCGCCCCCCGTGGACATGGCCAACCCATGTGCCAATGTCCTGTGTGACGTCAACACCGTATGTCGGGTTGTCTTCAAGTGTGCGACCTGTCCCCCCACTGTTCAATGTGTGGACCCTAAGCTCATACCAATTGGTAAGTAACGTTTTCAATATGTGGACCCTATACTCATACCAATAGGTAAGTAACGTTTTCAATATGTGGACCCTATACTCATACCAATAGGTAAGTAATGTTTTCAATGTGTGGACTCTATACTCATACCAATAGGTAACTAACAATTCACATGTTATGACTCTGGGCATATACCAATAAGTAAACAGCCTTACACATCATATGTTAATTACATATTCTAATACATTACAAGAAACTGTAGGCAGATAAAATAGTTACATGAATTAGTTTACACAAAAATAATAAGTAACGATTACCTATACTCTTATTCTTAAATATAAGATTCCAAGTGATTTATTCAGTTCAATAATAAAGTTACAAGATGTATTACTACTACTCCCTAAATGATACGTTTTTAGCATTAGGTTGTTGCAGTATCTAAAATATCTTTCACTGTTCAGGTAACTGCTAAGGGGTCGTCCATAAATGACGTCACACTCGTAGGGGGGAGGGGGGGTCCGTAATTTTGTGACGGTGTGTGATGAGGGAGAGGGGGGTCAGATGGTGTGACGTCTTATTTTTGCATTATAAAAAAGCCATGTTAAAAATCAAATTTCAGACGTTATTTCGCGTTTTAGTAAACTGTTTTAATAAATTGTAATAGGAATTGATTTAAATACTCTATTTTGACAGAACTCAGACAATATTTTAGAAAAAATATCGATGTTTTAAAAAAAAATTCAACTGCAATTTTGAGGGGGGTTGTAGGCTGAGATGTGACGTCATTTTATGGGGGGGGGTCTGGCTTTTTGTGACGACGTGTGACGGAGGGGAGGGGGGAGGGGGGGAGGTAAAAGTCGTCAAAAAAGCGTGACGTCATTTATGGATGACTCCTAAGTTAGCCTGTCAGAGTACTCAGCACTAGACACTAGGCTCAGATGTAGGGCCCTATAGCTAATGCCATTTTTATAACCGATGCTATTACTTTAAAGAGGATGTGCTCTATACTGAAATGTACCCAGCGCCTGCGCCATGTTATTTAGCGCCCTAGGCAAAACTTATTAAAACGCCCCATTTCACGCAAATTAATAACTAAAACATATGTATAAGAAAGCAATTAATTAAAAGTGACATATTACTTTATTATCAATTGCATAAAGGTTATAGGTAGACATCAAAATCCAATTTTAATTGTCTCCTTCGCAGAGGCGTAGCGAGGGGGGGGGGGCGGGGGGACATATGTCCCCGGGCGCCGACCTTAGGGGGGGCGCCAAATTGAAAGTTTGAGGGGGTGCAAATGAAAAGTTCGAGGGGGGGGGGTGCAAATCGAAAGTTTGAGGGGGGGGGGGGTGCAAATCGAAAGTTTGAGGGGGGGGGGGGGTGCAAATGAAAAGTTCGAGGGGGGGGGGGTGCAAATCGAAAATTTGCTTTCGAGGGGGGCGCCAAATTGAAAGTATGTCCCGGGGCGCCGGGAAGGGTCGCTACGCCTCTGCTCCTTCGTCTCAAAAGTTTGTACTAATTTCTTCAATTCCACTTTGCAATAGTAATCACATTCTATTTAAATTGTTTCTAAGTCCACGAGTCTACTTTGTACTTTATGACATACCCCCCCTTCTCCCCCCCTCTTAGAAAATTTTAAGTGCTTCACACTCCCCCCCCCCCCCCCTCCCGGGAGAAAAAAGTCTGGAAAAAAAAACACTAAATAAGTTCCCAAACGGAACTTGTTGTTTTAAGCTTGATTGTCTTTAGTTATAATTGTAAAATGTCTATATTTTGTGATTATGTAACGATTTTTTTTAAAAAAGAAAAGGTTATAAATGTTATATTCCAACATAAAATTACATATGAATCCTTTATGAGAGGGTGAAAAATATGAAAAGACAATTAATTAGATGTTTAATATTACGACTAAGACTGTATGTCGACTAACATTAAGTATTGCAATCTACAACGGCTACTGATGTATTTGTCTTTCAACTTGAAATTGCTAAAAAAAAACTACCAAACTATTTTGTTTAGAACTTCTGCTCTATATATTTTTTACAAAGAAAATAATAACTTAAAGTTGTATTTATATGTAAGCGGTCAACCTAAGGTGCGGGAATTTGAAATGAATGTAAAGACAGTAAAGTTAAGCCTTAAGCAACGAATTATCTCCAATTTGAAGATCCAAACACGAACATTTTATTCAAGGGAAACAACTTTTAAAAGAATAACTAAATTAACCAAGTGTACTTAAGACATGCTTAAAAACACCACAAAACAATCTAGATTTTTTTACTTAATGCTTCTATCAAATCTTTTATATTTCCTATGTATGCTTGTAAAAACAGTATATTTTACTTATTGAATACTTAACTGTAGGTTGTGATTTAAAGTTAAAAAGCCGTAGCTTTATTATAACATACTTCTATTCAATTTTGATGACACAAAATGTATGATAATTCCACAATATTACTGAAAGATAAATTTTGGATCCCTTAAATAAAGGGAAACCTTTCAACAAAACAAATACGGGTAGCTGCCTTAAACATTGCAAGAATTATTGATTCAAGATTAAAAAATTGCATTCTCATTTCTCTATAACCAATCAGATTCCACTATACCTTCAACTACAAACCAGCCGAATTAAAGTTATGACAATTTAGAATTTCGATACTTTATACCTACGAAACCATATCAGCAACAGCCTTCCGCCGTTACTCCCAAAACGATTCATCAAAACTTACCAAATAAGTACAATACTTTGAACACCCCGTCATTACAAAACTCTATACACCAGGACACATTTCTAATTCAAAGTCAGAGAAAACGAAACTTATAAGTCCTATTAAAATTAGATAACCGTTTGAAACATGCGAAATTTAAATTACTAACTTATTTAATCGTTTTCTACATTAATTATGTGACACCAAAATAAAAAGGCAAAGTGACTGGTAAAAAGCGCCCCGACCTTTCCTAATTAGGGAGGTGGGGTTGCATTTTCACCCTCGCGAATAAATATAGGCCTATAAAGACCCAATTTTTGGGTAGGGGGGGGGGGGGGCAAAATTGATAGTTAGTCCTTGGTGCCGAAAAAGATCGATACTCCTTTATAAAAGTTTTTAATTACTAGGTACTTTTTTATAATAGCGATTTAACCTTTGTGTGCCCCCCATAGGGCGCCCCCTAAGGTCGGCGCCCGGGGACATATGTCCAAAATGGGTTATAAAAACAAATTAAAATGTTAATTTAGCTGCTTTTGCAGTTTGAGAGGGGGGTGCAAATCGAAAAGTTGAGGGGGGTGCAAATTGAAAATTTGCTCCCGAGGGGGGTTGCCAAATTGAAAGTTTGTCCCCGGGCGCCGGGAAGGGTCGCTACGCCTCTGGGTAGCACCGACCCTGCATGTACCTAACGTGACCTTATGTAACTCTTACTACTGCCAGGGATTGATGACGTCTGTAGGGGGCGTGGCTTCCAGGGGTCGCTGCTAGTTGACGGCCCCGCCCCCAACACCAACTACACCTCACTTCGGTGCACACAGGACTGCCCACCTGGGTCAACGTGTGTCAAGACCGAGGCTTGCTGTGGGGTCTGCTGCCGTGGTCAGTCCCTACCCCCGAGGGTCAAGCCAGGAACGTGCCCAACGGTAAGGGGATTTGTCGCTTACAATACAATATATCCAAATTTCGATGATTGCTTATACCAGTGTCTGACAATATGTTCTTCCGGCCAATTGTCTGCGTTGTACCGTGAAGTCTAAAAATAAAACGTCAACAAACTCACTGTGGCCTAAATAGGTCGCGCTAGGCACCGAGACAACAGAGATGTGTAGTTTTTGTAACATAAATACTCTTTGCATAGTGATTATGAAAATAATAGGATTAGTGCTAATTAATTAATTAGCTTAATTACAATATGTTAATTATGCTAATAGAGTCCTTTCATATGACGTCACGTCCGTTCGTGATACCTACGCCCGCCGCCACAGTGGTGTACACCAGACGTAAACACAATCAGCTGTTCGCCAGCGCTGGACGTGTTCACCAGCGCTGGACGCGTTCACTGTATGTAAAGAACCGCACCCGCGGAAAAGGAAAAATACGTTAAAAAACTTGAACTCTTAGGAATTGAAGATCCTTATACTGTTATTGACAGTTTCGTATAAATAAATATGTGGACAAAATTTCTAAATAAAAATACTGTTAGTAATACTGTTTACGTTTAGAGTTAAAGTAGCGGAATCTGATCAAATGCAGTTCTCGATACTTTGTTTCAGGTAAGGACAGTAAAATAATAAACTTCATTTTAATTATAAAAGATAACTATTAATAAAACAAATATGCTCGACCTTCACAAATACTAATAGTAAAAGACAAAGTCAAAAGTAATAGGCTAATAAGAATAATAAGATCTAATAGTAGGCCTAATACCTGGCTCCGCTGGGTAGACATAGAATCTAGAATCTACTTCTTTACTTAAATGTAATTACTTTAGATCTACATTCGATTCAAAATACACCCATAATAAATCAAAAGTAGTCATAATAGGCCTAATAAAGCATTTAATTGTCTCTAAGATCTAAAATCTCGCTCTATTATCTAATCATTTTTTTAGCAAACGAAATTTTCTGAAATTGAAATAGATTATATGACTAGACTTAGATCTAGAATCTGCTACTTAAATTAAATTGTAAAAACTTTATACAAGCATGTAGTTGATATTATTGTAGTAGAAGGCTTTAATAAATTACTAAGGCCTACCTACTTTGTTGTCTTTTTACAGCAATATGTATCTGATACTGGACTGAGTTTAATTAAATTCAAATTCATATCTAGTAATTGGTCTACTAAGTTTTTGTAGCCTAGTAGTACAATCTAGATCATACCAGCCAACAACAAATAACCACATTATTATTATTTGGTTAATGATTAGGCTAATTTTTTTTTTAAATCCACTGTTTATAAAAGAAACAAATCAAGCTAGAAACATTATAAGTGAGATGGTTTAGAATAATAACAATGGACCCAGTCTACAATTGATACAATTGCAGGTCTACATAGGGCCTACAGTCTAGTAGTTTACAGTAGGCACCTAGTGTGTAGCTAGTATACTAGTGTGTAGCTGTCCAGAGTTAAGGTTCTTAATGCCTTAATGCTTTCCCCTGATAAGCCATGTGTGCTATAAATGACATAACATGACACCGAGGTGAGAAGTGTTGAGGGGAGAGCAGTGGGACTTTCCCCTTTGTTCTCCCTGCTGGGCCCTGAGGGTCAAAATTATATAAGAAATACTATCTCTGTGGGGCTGGGTATCACGGAGGTGAGACATTTTCAGGGGAGGGCAGGGCAGACTCCTCTTTGGTTTTATTGTGGGCTAGATACAGGTGGGGGCAGCCATACGTCAGTATTAATGTGTCTGATTACTTCCCTGCTGGATTATAAGGGTCTTAAATTGTATAACATGCTACCCAGATTGGTTATTACCCATGGATTATATTAGCCGTTGTAGTGTGGGTTTTGTAGGAGTTAAGTGGTCTCACGTTTGCTACAGTAGATAACCTATAATATATTACTGCATTTGATCAGCTTCGTCTACTTAAACTCTAAACGCAAACGGTATTACTAGCAGTATTTTTATTTAGAAATTTCGGCCACATATTTATATTATCCACGAAACTGTCAATAACTGTATAAGGATCTTCAATTCCTAAGAGTTCAAGTTTTTGAACATATTTTTCCTTTTCCGCGGGCGCGATTCTTTACATACGGTGAACACGTCCAGCGCTGGTGAACACGTCCAGCGCTGGCGAACAGCTGATTGTGTTTACGTCTGATGTACACCAATGTGGCGGCGGGCGTAGGTATCACGTGATTTAGGTCACGTGTTTGCAAGGACTCTATTACTTCGTTAATGCACTTGTGGGTTCGTTTATAAGGTGTGTTTTTTTTTTTAAAGTTTTTTTTGTCTTGTTAAGGCTTCTTGAACTTAAATATTATCATGACCAAATTAATTAATTATGATTATGTTAATCCAATGATTAACCTAATTAATTTGATTGTTTTATTCAGATGTCTATTTTATAGTTGAATAGTTTGATTAATTTTTAAATTAATTATACAAGTACCCAAAATTATAATTATAAACATTCCTTAAAATACCCAATTGTGTTGTGGCTGGGGTAAATCACCGTAAGAGGAGTGGATAGGTGTATTCTGGCAAACATGCATATCTGAATTAGGATTTATTTCAGACATTTTTTTCTATGGAAGATGAAGAATACTTAAAATAGATTATTTACATAGGTCAACATTTAATTTTTATTCTGTACTTTGTGGGGGGGGGGGGGTGGATACACCCCCTCCCCCCCCCCTCACCAAGCGTGGCCAGGTCTGAGATATTCTTAAACAGTATTATTTTTTAAACAGCCTACCACCCCTCCCCGACCCGAACATAATAGACAACGATCTATAATACTTTATAGAACATACATATATTTTACTAATCCCCCCCCCCTTCTACGTGGGACATAGGAATCGTCCATAAACATCGTCACATTTCAGAGACGGGGGGTGGGGGGGGGGGGTGGTGTTCACAATTTTTATGATAAACTGTGGGGAGGAGGAGGTAAACTTCGTCAAAAAAGTGACGTCTTTTAATTTATCCATGACCACTGCGTGTATATTGATTATTAAATTCCAATTCCAATAAAATGTAACAAAAATCGTTTGACCGCGTAAAATAATCGTGGTTATAAATATGTCCATGTATTTTCTTTTTTCGTATTAATAACATAAATCAGGCCTTTTTTGGTGCTTGAGAATCTTTACAAAGCAGTACAAGGTCAAGGCCATATGCAAATTTGCTTACGTCACTTTAAGTAGGTGAGAATAAAAAGCACACAGCACTCATCAAATTTTTAAAATAAATGCCCTCCTTTTCAAACATGTACAAAGCAGTACAAGGTCAAGGCCATATGCAAATTTGCTTACGTCACTTTAAGTAGGTGAGAATAAAAAGCACACAGCACTCATCAAATTTTTAAAATAAATGCCCTCCTTTTCAAACATGTTTCTTGTAAAACGTATAGACATACATAAAACAAAATGTGTTCACATTTTCTTAACACTTACCCACTTCCATTTACAAATAATATTTTAAAAAGGTTATCCTTATGTCAGGGCCAACTAATTAGGCATAGGCCCCAAACCAATAAAATATATTATTACTATTAACATCCCGGGCCGAATGTGTGTTACACCTAGAGCCCTAGACCTACACGTCTGAGCCTTCGAGGGTCATGTGGTGATAAAATTGCAGATCTAATTAATATTCATAAATGGCGTTGGAATATTTTTTTCTGCATGGATATGATGTCGTATTTTGTAAGTAGGATAATTTTTTTCCTTTTTATTAATTATCTATACCTCCATCTAAGCGTTTAATCAATAAATTCAGCCGCTAAGCCGCTTTTCATCGAAATACTAGATTTAGATGTCGAGTGTCCATCTAAACTTTTGAGACATCACGTGACCTCATTTTCCCGCCTTGACCACTTTGCCATCGATCGGTTACAGTTTAAAATTAATTACATACCAATATCCCCACGTTCTAGATAATGCAAATTTAAAACAATGCAGCATTTAACACCTTTGTCTATAAAGTTAACGTTGCTTTGTGGCTTTACGTTAAGAAATTATATTTTGGCATTTAGCTGCGCGGGCTAGCCTAGATCCGTGCTTTGACCTAATTTGGAACACGTGCCGCGCAACTCTCTGCGGTGTGCTGTTGACAACTTTGTTTGCTTGCTTTACTACAATACGCAATAAAATATGATCAAAATAAATTTATTGTCTGTTTTCTTTGTATTATTTACATACTTTCGGCATCGGCCGATGAAACACGCACTTTATAAGCGTTTTGGTAGACTTGACAAAATATTAATGCACGAAAAGGCAAATATTTAACAATGATTGCTTTTTCGGACGGCAATATTTTGAGATTTTGTGGCGTCATCATTGAAAAAAACGACTATCTCCATTTTTAAAAAGGGTCATTTTTCCCTCATTTTGAAAAAACGCGTTGCGATTTGAACTATAAAATAAATTTAGGCTTCAAAACCGCTGTTTTGACACACCGCGCTGATGACGTCACGCCTTACCAAAACGCTTAGAAAGCGCGTATTTCATTGGCCGATGCCGGATGTAGTCAAATCCCGGAAACTGGTATAATACATTTAAAAGAAACGGGTTTAAGTATGAAATAATATGTATGCATATAGAGTGTTGCCGACCCCTCCACACATCTAAATACAACATTCTATCAAAGATAATAGCGATGGTTCAACTCACGGTCGCCGATAACCATAAAACAAATTAGACTTTTACTTTAAGACAAATGAAATACAATACAAACTTACAAAGGTTCAAGCAAATTAATACAAATAAGATCTTCTACGGCAAAAATGTGTTGCAAAATAATTAAACGCAATATAATATAGTGTCACGTATTACTTTTAACCCGAAAGTTTCAAGTTCACAAGTCTAAATCTACATTGAGTACCTGACTCACTTTAGGGAAAGTAAGAGCGGTTGGTTATATCGTTGAAATCACTATTCTCTTTTACATTCCTTGGTCACTAAAATAGTTGAATTCTACTTCACCTGCAACATGGAGTCTCGGGTTTGAAATGGCTCTTCACTATACATACAATAAACAGTCTCGTTCTGCTTAAGTTTGATCCCATTCAAAATTTGCAGGTGGAACTTATCGCGTGCTCTCAGACCAGGTGCCAGAACGATGACCAGTGTCCAGACAACCTGAAGTGCTGCCAGAGCTGTGGGAACCGATGCTCAGTACCCATCTCTCCAGGTGCGACCGACACCTGCAGACCACCGTGCCAGCTAGGTATCCAAGATTGCTGCTATTATTTACTTGAATGGGATTTTGTTTTAAATTTGGAATTTGTATAAGAGGTTACATTTATGACACAGTCAGGTAGCTCAAGACTCCCTCTAGTACTCGCATTTACTGTCTAGTGTTTTTAAAATATGCTGACTATGTTAAGGTATTCGGGTTGTGGATAATGTTTGAGAGGTTCGGGTGTTGGATAATGTTTGAGGGGTTCGGGTGGTGGATAATGTTTGAAGGGTTTGGGTGGTCAATAATGTTTGAGGGGTTCCAGTGGTCAATAATGTTTGAGGGGTTCGGGTGATGGATAATCTATTGAGGTTTGGGTAGTGAGTAGTGTTTGAGGGGTTCGGGTGTAGGATAATTTTTGAGGGCTTTGGGTGGTGGATAATGTTTTAGGTGTTTGAGTTGTAAATAATGTTTGAGGGGTTCGGTATGTGGATGCTTGAAGGGTTCCAGTGGTGGATAATGTTTGATAGGTTCGGGTTCTGGACTGTGGAAACTGAATGTCTGCCGTCGACCTTCCAGGCACCAGCTGTGTCTCCAAGATCTCCGACTGTCCCCCGGGTCAACCCTGTACACAAGTGTACAAGCCTGGGTGTGTACCTGTAGACTGCCTCAACTGTACCGACACATGTGTACCCAAGAAACTCACCGCAGGGTAAACTTTACTGTCTACACGTGTTAAATATTATCTCGTTAGCAATGTTAATCAAGCAATGTTTTTTTTTTTAGTTTTCATTTTACACTATTTAGACTGTGTGAATGATAAGGTAGAATTCAATTTTCAGTGATATCGATAAATGGAGGGACAATGTTGTCAGTTTTGTTATGCCTAGACGTCTTTCATCCCCTATGCGGTAGTCAGGCGCTAGGGCAACTCGGGGACGTTATACGGACTCTGGTCCGGGATAGAACTCCGGACATTCGGATTAGCAGTAACGCGCTCTACCTTCCGACTCCGTCTTCCCAAAACATCAAGCTATCTTGTACAATGTTGTACTATTTGTTTCCCTACCACTGCGAGTTATTAGACGATGTGGCCAAGTGCTAGAACTATCCCGAACCTTTTCATTGACGTTTTTTTTTATCTACCCGGCTTAAATATGTCGCTGACTCAAGCTAGAAAATAAAGGCGGCTGATAATATACATGCTAACATTATCAATATTTTTTTATAAGCCGAGGTCACGGAAACTAGTGAACTCTACTTCCACCGTAAAAGGCAAAAGGATAACATTACCGTACTACAGGGGATAAAATACTAGTTTAGCACTGTAAATTGCTAATAAAAAATGATCAACGAATCTACTCTCACAAAAATAAGAGTTCACCTGAACAGCCTCAACGTTTACAAACTAATACAAATACACCTTCAGTGAGTCGCATTATTTTGCCATATCTCCGAATCCAACCCTTAACTTTAATACCATTGTTTAAATCTTACTTGACATTTCAATTTCAGATATGAATGCAAACCCAAAACGGGTTGTCTGAAACCCTGCCCACCTGGCCAACAGTGCCAGTACGTGACAACCTTGTGTTCACCGGGGGAGCAGACAAATCCCACCTGTAAAGAGGTGTATGAATGTAGACAGGTAAGCAGACAAATCCCACCTGTAAAGAGGTGTATGAATGTAGACAGGTAAGGTTAGCAGACAAATCCCACCTGTAAAGAGGTGTATGAATGTAGACAGGTAAGCAGACAAATCCCACCTGTAAAGAGGTGTATGAATGTAGACAGGTAAGCAGACAAATCCCACCTGTAAAGAGGTGTATGAATGTAGACAGGTAAGGTCATCAGAAAAATCCCACCTGTAAAGAGGTGTATGAATGTAGACAGGTAAGCAGACAAATCCCACCTGTAAAGAGGTGTATGAATGTAGACAGGTAAGCAGACAAATCCCACCTGTAAAGAGGTGTATGAATGTAGACAGGTAAGCAGACAAATCCCACCTGTAAAGAGGTGTATGAATGTAGACAGGTAAGCAGACAAATCCCACCTGTAAAGAGGTGTATGAATGTAGACAGGTAAGGGCATCATTGCTGAGTAAATGTCACCATCCACCACGGTTTTTATTCACATTACATGTATGTTTTTAAGTTGGTTCATATTTATCTAGTTACACTACGTCTATGTAAAATGTTGAAAATGTCTACGAATCCAGTACATAGCCTAGGAGCAGATAGATGTTGTTAAAGCCTTGAAATATTTTAGTTAGATTATATCTGAAACATAGATAATTAAAGAAAAAAAAAGTTAGGTCATTTGTCTTGTTTCTTATCAAAGATGAGACATTTTACTGATAAAAGACAAAGTAAGCAAAGCTTATTCTTATCGCAACACAAATTTGCATAAAAGTTACCTTAATTAGAAAATACTGAAAATAAAAAAATTATTACTGTCAACACTCTCTATTTCGCCCGACCCACACACACACGCATCTGTAATCCCTCACTCCTTTGTAAAACGTCACGGTTGACTGATCACACAGATTTACCTGTTAACACACCTGGCTAACCTTACACTTACCTGTCCCCAGGTGGACCCCTGTGGGGGCTGCCCCAGGGGCAGAACATGCATCTACACGGGCAACAGGTGCCCCGACCCCACCTGCCCCACCTTCCAGTGTGTGGTAGACAACGAGTGTGGGGGCTGCCCTGACGGACTCAGGTGCCGACAACGTTTAGCCTGTCGTCCTCCCACCAACTGCGACCCGAAAGTCTATAGCGGATCAAATCCATGCGGCACTGAGACCTGTAGCACCATATTTGAATGTGTTCTCAATTGATGCGTTGCTCAAATTTCTTCTATTGCTTGAATTCTTTTTTTTTACTTTTATAATTTTAAAAAATAAACAAAGCATTGCAATTATTATTTTCTGCGTTTTTGTTTTCATACAGGCTTAGTGAAAAAAAAAAAAACATAAATTGTTTTTGTTCCTGTTAGCACTTTAAAAATAAGATTTTCCAAAACCAATGTTATTGTGCCAACGATTGTAACGCTACAATATCAAACCAGAGTTTCTTCCAGTCCGCCCCCCCCATACCCCCGAAAAAAGTCTACGGCCCCCCCACCCATCCCCCCCGAAAAATGTCTACCGCCCTCCCCCCCCCCCCCCCCCCCCCCAACGAAATGAAATTTATATAATTTATATAGAAAATATATACTTTTAACAGTGTCCGCCCCACCCCCCCCCCAAAGAAAGTCTACCGCCCGCCCCCCAAAAAAAATTTCAAGTGCCCCCCCCCCCCCCCCCCGGATAAAAAAGTCTGGAAGAAAAACCGTATCAAACTCTTCATTAGATCTTCGTTAAAAGACACTCAATACCACAACAAATTGGTTTCAATAATAAAAATAAGATTTTACTATCATAGCAAAATATTAATTACCTTTATGTGTTTTCGTGTAAAAACAGTCACGAACATACTTGCCTTAAATGTTTAGTAGAGCGTGTTACATTTAGTCTATCTGTGGCCTACTTATGTGACTGAAATTTCTGGTCTAAATATACTCAGTTTTAGTTACATTTTAAAAAAGAAATTATTTTCAACATTTTTTTATCACGACTCCTTATCGCTTTGAATTTTAAAAAATCAGGCTATTCAGTCATTGTTTCCTTTACGTTTGAGTTAGTTAAGCATTCTTTCTTTGAAGGACCAGCAACATGTATGTGGCTAGAATTTTAACCTTCGTTTTTCTTGTGGTAAGTAATTTATACTACATCTACACAAATATTGTGCTAATAATTCAGGCGTTAAAAGACATGTTTAATTGTCGACTTTCTTAACACGACGTATCTAAATGAAGTAACAGAGTATTTATGTTTAGTTTACTACGATAAATGGAATAGGCCTACACTTTACACATAAATATTTAATTTAATCCAACTGTTTTCAGGTTGTTATGCTGATAACAGTAAAGTCAGTTCCGCTTCAGGTATTTCATTTTTTTTCTTTCTTTTTATATTTATAAAAGCGTTATTGATTAAAACAAATTATGTAAACTAAATCGTTTCGTTTATTCAATGAAATATAGTACAATGGTGTCGTGGATTAACTTAAATGTTATAGAATCAAACTCTGTAAGTGTTAAACCACGCTCCATTTGCGTCCTACCAACTCCGACCATCTTTCATCACTTAATAAAGTTTGAAATGTCTATAAGAAAAACTACATCACTACAGACCTCAACACATTGATACCCGATCAATAAATACCAGCCACTACAACCTGATAAAATATAGAGCGTTTATGTGCCCCTTAGATGCTTCATACCTCTATAAAAATCTAATCAATCTATTTGCTAAATAAAACACTTATTTTTTGGGACGGAGTGGCCTAGCGGTATAGAGCTAGACTGCTAACCCGTAAGTCTCGAGTTCGATTCCGGGTTCATGTCAGTAGACTGAGTCCATCTAGCTCTGATGGGTATAACTCACGTTAGGGTAAGTAATGCGACAGGGAATAGTGCTGACAACACTATCTCCTTATATTCTGAGGTCACAGAAACAAGTGAACTCAACATCACTTGCCTTGTAGACCGTCGGCTTTGAAATTGAACTTTACTTTCTTTTATTATGTACAAAATGCCGGCCGTTTGAGAAAATACTCAATAAACAAAACTGGAAAATTATCATGTTCGCCACCCCCTCTCCCCCAACCTTCCCCCCCCCCCTCCACGGTTTATGTTCATTCTCAGGTTCAACTGTGTGGGGACAGTGTGTGTGCAGTGGGGGAGCAGTGTCAGGTGTTCTATCCACCCTGTGCTCCCCCACCCCCCAACTGTGAAACCTGCCATTCCAACTGTCACCCGATCTCAATGTGTGTTGTGCCGGTCTAATTTGGGTAAGTTAATTAATTACATTAATGATCATGTGTCTGATTGTTAATGACTAACATAAATTATTCGACAAAAAAAACAAGATAATTATTAGTAAATTAAAAGCGATTTTGATAATCAGATGTAGTGTGAGATTTTAATTGGTTTTATGATAACTACTAAAAAGTAGATTGAGTTGTTTTAAGGAGAGGTCTTAATTATTTTTAAATTATTTTGATTAATTATAACAAACGAGC